TGTTTTCTTTCCTAACAGCGACACTGGCAACATTTTCCGTTATAGTTTTGTTCAGTAGCAACTCATAAATGAATTCTGAATTTGTATAGTTTTGTAAAGCTGGAAAAATATAAACAACTTTGTTAGGTTTAAGGTCTATCGACTGCACTAGGTCAAACCATACCACGGGCGGGGATAGAACCCGCGGGTTCTATCCCCGCCCGTGGTATGATTTGTTTGCACTCGTGTCATTACGATTTCGTGAGTCATGTACACTAAGGTTATTAAGATCGACAACACTAAAGTCATTAAGTTCGACAACACTAATGTCATTAAGAACGACAACACCAAGGTCATTAAGATTGACAACATGAGGTCATTAAGACTATAAGATATATCGACTACACTAAGGTCATTAACACTACAGTCTACTTTATAATGGCACGGCTGCTTTAATCTATAGATCAGGAAATAACGTTGACCCAATATTTACAGTGAAAGATATTCATCTATGTATATACTTTGTACATCAACGCATCGGATAATTAACCTGCTTTCACTCTGAGAAGTCTGGTAAGGGATGTGAGAGTTCAGCGACTCTCTTTGACCTGAAGGCTTTTAACCCTCTTGGAAAGATACGTACAGTGTTAATAACGCTAAATCTGTTTTCTTCTTTAATTACTTTGCAATGAAAGGACAACAAATTAGTAGATGCTTTGCTTGGCCCATTCGCCACCAAGACAGGAAACCCTAAGACAATGTATTCAGTATCATTCGTTCCTTAGGTGTGTGCTCTAGAAGTGTAAGTGACCAACAGAACCGCAACATCCTCACTCGCTTCTTCAGAGTACAGACAACTTATTTCCTTCGGTCAAAACTTAAGTCAGGTTAATTCGTTTGTCTCTTAATCAGATCGTAAGCACTACCTTGCTCATATAGCAAGAGCACGTTAAATCACAGAATAGACTTCGACTCCCATCTAATACGCTCACATATGCCTTTTGGATTCAAGCACATAGACACACAGACACAGACACACAGACACACAGACACACAGACACAGACACAGACACACACACACACACACACACACACACACACACACACACACACACACACACACACACACACACACACACACACACACACACACACACACACACACAGGCTTATACAGTCATCATAAATATTGTTAGTATTATTGTTTTAGCAAGACGTTATATAAAAGATATTCTGTGCCTCCCATATATACACTTTTCTTTTAAAAAAAGTATTTATACCTTATCTAAACTGAACTAAATATTTAGTTAGATAAATGTTTATGGTATTTATGAAAACGACAAACGTGAAATTCAAAGAGAGAGTCTCATTAATAATTAATTTTAGGTATTTTTTATTTGATTACTAAATTTCAGAATTTTTCTTGGATCATAGGTTCTTCCCGAGCCTGCCTCTTCTAAAACTATGGAGAATTTTTTTTAGTTTCTGTAAATACAAATATTAAACTGATTAACAAATTATTAATTTCTTCAGATCCTGTTCTCCGTGCTGGTGGCTGCCGCCCACGCTGGTTCTTTAGGCTACAGCCTGCCTACCCCCGCTGGTGGTGGTGGTGGGTCATTTGGCGGTGGGTTCGCTGGCGGAGTTGGTGGCGGGTTCGCTGGCGGAGTTGGTGGCGGGTTCGCTGGCGGAGTTGGCGGTGGGTTCGTCGGTGGCGGTGGCTACGGTGGCGGCGGCTGCAGTGGAGGACAAATCCTCCATGTTGACGGAAGCTGTGTAACTCCTCTGGTCACTCGCAATCTGTTTGTGTACAAAGCTCCACCTGTGGCTCCACTCGTAGGGCCAAAACCTTACATTCCTCCACCAAAGGTTGAACACAATATTATATTCATCCGCACCCCAGAAAGCGGCCTGGGTGTGGAACCAATTATCGTGCCACCACCACAACAGAAGAATGTTGTATACGTCCTCAACAAACGGCCTGAAATAGACCAGAAGATCGTCCACGTTCCAGCTCCTGAGCAACAAACTCCTCAAGTATACTTCGTCAACTATGCCGAAGGCGACAACCCAACTTTGCCCACAGGAGAGGACCTCCAGTCTGCCCTGAGTTCTGCCGCTCATGGTGGTGGCCAGGTCGTTGGCGGTGGTTTTGGTGGTGGTTTGGGTGGTGGTTTTGGTGGCGGTCTTGGAGGTGGTCTAGGCGGCGGTCTTGGAGGTGGTCTAGGCGGCGGTTTTGGTGGGGCGTTGGGTGGTGGTTTGGGTGGAGGTTTAAGCGGTGGTTTTGGTGGTGGTCTTGGTAGCGGAGGCATCAAGGTTGGAGGAGGAGGCGGTGTGTCAGTGAGCACTCCATCAAGCCTATATGGAGCACCCTAGACACACACTAACCATCCCACCAGTTGTGTTTTAATAATTCCTGAAACATATTTGTTAAAAGAAGTTTGAATAGTAGTGGTTATGTTTTAAGTATGAAATCTGTTGTTCTTTGTATGACTTGTTCATAAAATATTTATTTATATTATCCAATGTATTATTAAAACCCATATATTGTGAATATATGTTATACATATTATTACAACACATAACACGGAATATATTTAAAAGAACTTATTAGCTATAGATTATTCTTTCACAGTTGCTGTCAATACATCTTCAACGAACTTCTTACACCTTTGTTTCTGCCATATTATTGTGAATTCTTAGTTGCATATTCTTGACCAATGGGCAAATGGTCTATATATAAGCATTGTGACAATGTTTGACCTGCCGGCTCAAACGTTAAGAATTTCCATATTTTTATTATTTTAAGTATTTCCTATTTGAAAGAAAAGCTTTGCCAATAATCTTGCAATTTCTGGAAAGTAATGGACATTTAATTTTCAGGATACAAGCGATTATATAAACATTTATATATATATATATATATATATATATATATATATATATATATATATATATAATATATATATATATATATATATATACATATATATATATATATATATATATATATATATATATATATATTATATATATATATATATATATATATATATATATATATATATAATATTGTACCACCTCTAGGGCTGGAAAGGGGACCCTCATCCTCAGAGAAGACAATAAACGTACCTCAGGGAAAACTCAAGGTTCTCCCCGGAGCTGTTTGAATATTTTCTTCTACCACCCCCTATATTTTATATTCTATGTGAACATTTATTAATAAACATTTACAGAAAAACATACACTACATACGTCTTCTCCCACCCGAGCCCACTCACGCTAGCCAATACTGTAAATACCGAATTACAGAAAATATCTACCTGGATGAGGACTAACAAACTTACACTAAACATTGACAAAACCTACTTCATTCAGTTTGGTAACAGAGCTACAGATGTCCCTCTTAACATAAGGATAAACGGATCACCTATCACAAAGCTAACAGAGGGAAAATTCTTAGGAATCCACCTTGATAATAGACTCAAATTTCATACACATATACAACAAATTTCTAAGAAAATTTCTAAGACTGTAGGCACACTATCGAAGATACGGTACTATGTTCCACAGTCAGCCCTCCTGGCCCTATATCACTCTCTTATTTACCCCTATCTCACCTATGGAATTTGTGCATGGGGCTCAACAACAATTAACCATCTCAGACCACTAATTACTCAACAAAAGGCTGCAGTTAGAATGATAACAAATTCTCACTACAGGCAGCACACTCCACCAATATTCAATACACTAAACCTACTCACCATACAAAACATCCATACTTATTACTGCACCTATTACATACATAGAACACTTAACTCTGATATTAACCCTCCCCTCAAACATCTCCTTGCCAACCTCAACAGAACACATGACCATAACACAAGGCACAGATCACTCTTTGATGTTCCTCGTGTCCATCTCACACTATGCAAAAGCTCAATGCACATAAGAGGCCCTAAAATCTGGAATTCATTACCTGTAAATATAAAAGAAACACTACCTGTTTATAAATTCAAGTCTCTTCTCAAAGATCACTTACTCACCCAAAACCAAATAAATACTGAATAACTGAACCTTATAAATTGTATATCTTAAATGTTTCTCACAATTATATCACATAAATGTTAAACCTAAAACCCAATCTAACTTTATTATTTTTTAAATACACTACCTAACAAAATACTCCATACGACTGAATGTACAACAATGCAAGCAACCATATGACCTGTCTTTGTTATACTCATTTGTGCTTTATAGTTATCTGTTTACAATAATGTATTATCACTGATTTCATCATTGCTTAGTTAATTTTAAGCCAGCCCGAAATGCTATGCATAGTATAAGTGGCTTTGGCATGCTGCTCTTATCTGTATTTTTTTGTACCTCTATATGTATGCTCAAATTGTAAATAAATAAACATGAATACAATGGCACAATGAATCAAAGATCATGAATTTCCTCCAAGTCCTCCGAGGCCGGACGCGAGTCAAGTATGTAGCAAGCATTTCCCCTCTGGATGGCTACGCTGAGGCGCTGGAACATGAAAGTGGCTGCCCTTGGGTCCCTGGTGGTGTCGATGAGTCTGGAACCCAATTCTTTAAGGACACGTGTGGCATTTTTTCCCCATGATCCAAGGTCTCTGATCCCACTGGCACAAATTGATACTGTTGGCTTATGTCCCTGTGCTTGTTGATCTTGTATTCCTCCCTGTGGTCAGCAGCTCCTCCCTGTCGCCCCACACTGTGATGGATATAGGTATCAGCCAGTGTGGACACACAGGTATAGTCCCATGCTAAGAGCCTGCCATTTTTCCAAGGATAGATGGTGATCCCGTCGGGGCGGTTTGCTGGGTTGTGGGTATTGTTGGCTGCTAGTGATCGGGGCTCCCTCTCGGCTGGGCATCCAGCTGTAGCAAGGGTTCTCTTAATGATGTCGTTGACATCATATATATATATATATATATATATATATATATATATATATATATATATATATATATATATATATATATATATATA